CCCCCACAGACACGAGCCCCCGCTCTTCCCGACCCCCCCCCACGTCCCTGACTAACTGCCAGTCTGTCCCACCACAGACAGAGCCCTGCTCTTCCAGACCCTTCCCCACATTATCCAGGGTTGTAAAAAGGGAAAGAATAAGCTATTTAGTTCCTTCTCTAAGCAGCCAGATCTTCTCTCTAATGTTGCCAGGGAAAGCCTGACACTTGTGTCCCTCCCTGCTGGTTGCTTTATGCGCTTGATGGGTAACAATCCCCAGCTGGAGTCTGCCTCCTTCCTTCTGCTGCAATCTCTGCTCTGATGGCAGACACCTGGGGTCCTTTCCGCCATGCTTAGATAGAGAGATTTAACCTTTACACCTCCCCTGATACTCCTACATGGTTAGGAGCCATGCACTGACCAGTGTGGGGGGTGGGATGCCGGGCTATATGGCCCCAGTGGTGTAAGTAATCCAGTGCAGCAGGAGGGATGGCGGGGGGGGATCCCAAGTTGTATGGTCCCAGCAGTTAGATCCATCGCAGCTGGAATGTGGTGCTAACCTAACCCCCTCAACCATGGTCAGCATTGCAGGTTCCCTTGGCTCTAACACTCATCCCTTCCTTCTTCACCCATCTCCAGCATCCCCAGTGCTGGACAGGCGTGCCCGACTGACTCATGTCCCTGACCTCTGATGTCAGTGCAGGGGCCAGTGAAGATAGTTTGGCAATGCTTGTTTCCCTTCTGAAGGACTCAGCTGGAAGACAGAGCAGATCAAGGGATCAGTGTAATGTAGAAATGAATCAGTAACTTCCAGCCCCCCAGCTCTAAGAACTAGACCCCCACTCCCCTCCCAGAACCCAGGAGTCCTGACTCCCACTCCTATGCTCTAATCACTGCTCTACTGATCCCTAGGTCCGTACAAAAAATGTTGATAGAATTGTAGGGATCCCAGGCCCGTCCTCTACACTGGGTTCCAGCCCAGAGACCCTAGAACAAACAGCCAAGGTCTCTGTACTATCCTACCCCTTGCTGCTGTTTCCCTGGGCTTCCTCTCACATAGCTGGTTTGCCAGCCGCCAACTCACCCTAACAAGGGCACAACTGCAGCTTACTTCCCTGCAGCCTTTCCCAGTAACAGCCTTTGTAGCCACCTACCTGGCATTATACAGACCCCACCTGTTCCTACACAGGTGAGCTTGTTCCTCTAATTAGGACTTTCCTCTCAGCTACCAAGTTAATTGGCCCATCTGGCCTCCATTAACCCCTTCCACTCCTGTGTGAGTTGGACACCCCATCACAGCGCCCTATGAGTGATGTGGCCATCAAGTGACAGGTTTGAAAATATTCCTGGTATGTGAGGAGGAACAAATGACCACTGGAGGGTGCTGCACAAAGCTCCACAGGACAGCGGGTGGCCATTATTATTTCTTTCACTATGGGCTGAAGACGTTTCACCAAACACTGACTCTTACAGTCACCCTCAGTGGCCACGCTGGCATCGGCTCGCTCCGAGGCTTGGAGCAGCTGGGATCCTCATCCTGGTAGTTGCTATGATAGTGATGGGCGTTTGGAGTAAGTAGTTCAAAATTAATTTG